AAAATAGAAAAATAATCTAATAGATTATAAAACATAATCTTTTAGATTTTGTCCAACGAGCGGTGACCAAACGACAAAGCCGGGGACAACCTATTATTTTTTTAGTGAAAACAAAAAAACAATCTGGTAGGTTATGAAATATAATCTGATAGATTATGCCTAGCGCCTGCGATTAATGCCGGAGTCGGAGACAACATCTCCATTTGTTAGCTTAGTGTTAAATATTTGATAGAATCTATGAAAATTAGAGACCAAAATTAGAAACATATAAAGTTGAGGAACTAAAACAATACAAACAAATAAAAGTTAGTTTACACAGATTTCTTCAAATTTTAACGCCTAGTTAACGAAATGACTGAAAATGTAACAAAATAAAACCTCAAGTACTAACTACGTGACATTTGAAAAATCAAGGACCAAAGTTGGATTAGAGGCAAACCTAAGGACCATTTTTGGCCCTTTTAATTATAATTTATTTGGTATCTAAATTACATTCGAATCACACTTCAAATCACCTCAAGTCTAAAGTTTTTAGTTTAAATTCCCGTTTCGTTCAAGAATTCAAATTGTGTGATTCAAATATCGCTTGGGATAAATTTTCTTCTTGTGCATTAGGACCGAAAGAGAGGACTATACAACCAATAAAAATTTGTGATGAATATCATGATTTTGTAAGATGTGAGTATTATGTATTCTGTTGATTTTTGTTTTTTCTCTTTTACCTTCATAAATACTAAAACTTTAAGTGCGTGTTTGAAACAGTTTTTTAAAACAATTTTCACGTATTTCGAGAAGTAAAAATGAAAATGAAAACGCAACGACGTTTGTTTAGCAAATGTTTTGAAAATGAAAATGCAAACGAAAACAATGAGAATGGTTTTTGTGAAGGAATTAGAAAACAGTTGAAGATTATTTTCACTTTTCTGTTTTCATTTTTTAGTACTTATTAACAATATTATAATATATTAATTAATAAACACGATTTTACTTTTTTATTATACTCAAAACAATCTCTTAAAAAACTAACCAAACGCAATTTCAGAATTAGTTCCAGAATGATTCTCAAAACAATTTCATTTATACTTTTTATTGAAAACAAAATCATTTTGAAACTAATTCCAAACGCACCCTAAATGTCATAACTTTTGTTGTAAATCTGATTTAGACATATTCTTCCTATGTGTTTGGAGCGAAGCGAAAGAAAATTCTCATCCATATAGTTGATGAAGATCTCTCATGGACATTTACATTTTATAAGACATGTTAGAAAATACTAAAGTGGCGATTAAACCGTTTTAGCATCACTATTATACTTACGGAATACGATATTGCCCAATGAAAAATAACATAGTTAATATGGATCTTGTTTTCTTACGTTCGCCCTACATACATATAGAAAGAAAAACCATCTCAATCTGAGATCATGTTTTAAACTTGTGACTTTTTAAAAAGATATGAACATCCTTTAACATCACGTTATACAGGCAGCAATATACCTGCCGAATATGACAATGCTCCATGAAAAATAACATAGCCAATATGAATCTTGTTTTGTTTTGTTCATCACTACGAACACATAGGAAAATAAAAATTGTCTCAATCTGAAATCAAACGATCAAGTTATGACTTTTTAGAATTATATAAACATCATTCTATCTTATGTTATACATGCAATACTATACCAACGGGATATGATAATACTCAGTGCAAAATAATGTAGTCAATATAGATTTTCTTTTGATCAGTTCGTCGCTACGAACACAGAGAAAAAGAGTTAAATTCATCAAAAGTCCTTAAACTCTTTTCTCTTTCTATAATTAGTCTATATACTAAAAAATGTAGCAACTTAAAACTTAAACTCTTTTACTGTCTCAAATTTGGTCCTCAACTATAATCCGTTAAATTTTGGATAGAAAATGTTAAATAATTTTGTAATTTCACCTCAAAAGATGGGTAGTCTCGTAATTTTAAAATATATGACCCAAAATATAAAACTAATTGAATCGTGTTCAAAGCCTAAAGCCCCTTTTATTGTGAAAAAGAGAAGAAAAGCAGAGAGAAAATCTCTGATGAAACTAATCAACTATGGAGAAGGAAAATTCGCATTGGCCGATTTTCAAAGGTAAATTTCTTGCTTTGTTGATGAAACCGGTTGGATTTTGATAAAGTCAGTATTTGGGTTAATTTTGGATGATTTTAATTTTCATGATGTTGCGTTAATTCATGGGGACATATATGATTTCGTAGTGAATAAATTTGGGTATACTTTACTGGTGTTGCGATAATGTTGGTAAATTTTCTAAAGTCTAGGTGTTGTTTCTCGGCCACTAGACCACCTCCAGGGGTTTTTTTTTTTCCAACCGTCTCTTCATAAATCAGTGGTGTTCAGTGGCGGAACCAGCTTTTCACTTCAGTGAGAGCGTACATTAAAATTTTTTTAACAAATTATGTTAATGGAGGCATATAAGAAAATATATTTATTTTAGTGAGGACATATATTATTTCAATGTGGGTTTAAGTGTAAAATTTTAAAATTTTTAAAAGTAATATTTTTTTTCAAAAAAATTTGAGTGGGGACGGTAGTCCCCACTGAACTGTACTTAAATCTGTCACTAGTAGTGTTCCTAGTGATTTATTACTAGTGTGTTTTTTATTTTTCTTTTTCCTTTTTTACACTTAACTCAAAATAATAATAAATTTGCTGTATATACTCTATTTGTAGGCTATTGTTTATGCTCTGTGTACTAGTGATTTTTTTTGTTTTTGTGTACACTAAACTCAAAATAGTAATAAGTTTGTTTTATATACTCTTTTTGTGATTATGGACTTTTATTGATTAATTTCATTGTATGAAGTTTTTATCGGATGGATTGGAGTTTCAACGTTTCTTTTAGCAAGAAATAGAGGGAAATAATATTTACTCAATTGTTTATAACTTAACTACTAATATGTCTAATATTTTCCATCTAAAATTTAAGGGAATGTAATTGAGGGATTAAATTTGAGATATTAAAAGAGTTCAGGGTTTAAATTGGAATACCTTTTAGTTCAAGGACTAATTGTAAAAAGAGAAAAAAATTTGAGGACTTTTGATAAATTAGAAGACGTTTAGTTCATGAATTAGAATTATGAGATTAGAACCATTTTTTATTTACGTGTATTTTTTATGAGAGAAAACACTGTAGCGAACCACGAACCATGATTTAAATCAGGGTACGAATCCCCCAACCAAACAACTCCTTAATCTCAATCTGAGGTCTAATATGACTTAAAAAATAAAAAAAAAATAAAAAAATAAAAAAAAAAACTTATGGCGCGATTCCTTAAAAATTACTACGTTTGGGCTTCACGATAAATAAAAAAATAAAAAAAATAAAAACTTATGGCGCGATTCCTTAAAAATTACTACGTTTGGGCTTCACGAAAGTGCAATAAAGAGGATTAAAAAAGTAGTAAAATCCTTACAAAATGACTTTTATGCCTTGTAGCACCTCATTTATTTACGAAAAAGCCATATACACAGTATTGAACAAAGTTGATAACCGGTCCAGCATTTGTCAAATAAAACAAGCGAAATCCATAACAAAAACCATCAACAAAAAAACATGAACCAAAAACATGTAAAAATTCAAAATAAAGCGACGAATAAGAGAGAAAAAAGAAGCAAAAGCCGGCAAAGGCTCAATAGAAGAAGCAGCCAAACAAAATCATCAGTCAAAGAGAAAACCACAGAATATCCAAAGCCTAACAAAAGAGAAACAAAAAAAAAAAAAAAAAACCCTAAAAACCACACACAGAAACCAAACCGAAAAAGAAAGAGCACGGGCAAAAAAGAGACCAAAAAATTACTGTACAAAAATAGAGAAAAGTGAAGTCACATAATAAGTAACCAAAAAGACTAAAAAACCAAACACTGAAATCATACCATTTGGGTATGCATAATAGAGGATGAATTGGCGTTTTATAAATACGATTACAGTAATGCAAGAGAATACTAAATTGAAACTTTTTATTCAATTTGTAAATTAACTGTTATCATGCAACCTTAACTATATATGTAATTGAACTAAACGTAAATATCATTTAGCTTATAGTAGTATTTGCATATCTAGTTTCTAAGTTTTATGCTGAATTTTTAAAACAATTTATTCATATCCTTAAATTTGACACAATTTATATTATTTCGCCTTTTTATAGATTTCTAATTCTGTATAGATAAATTTGACGAGTATTAATTCTACTGGCTTGTGTTCTAGTAGCTTTTAGGATTTAATAAGAATCCATGCTAGGTTTTGGAGCAAATTGCCATAAATGGATTTGCTTAACAGCGTTTTGTATCAAGAATTTTGGAGAAAAACAAATGTGGTTTCCATATGACGGTCAGATGCCATCATGACAGGATACTGCGTTATTATTAGAAACATCGTTGGCTTTTGGTAGGTTTCACTGGTCATGGGACGCGCTGCAGTGCTACGAACAGTGATGGATTTAAGTACAGTTAAGGGGATAAATTTTTTAAAAAAAAATATTATCTTTAAAAATTTTAAAATTTTACATTTAAGTCTCTATTAAAATAATATATATCCCTACTAAAATAAATATATTTTCTTATATACTTTCACTAAGATAATTTGTTAAAAAAAATTTAATGTGCACTCTCACTGAAGTGAAAGGCTGACTCCACCACTGACTGCGGGAACGACTTGGGCAGCGCCACGGCGTCTTGGGGCGTGCCACAGCACTGTGGGGCCGGAAAGAGCAGCGCCGTTTACAAATCCACCCTGGTTACGTTTGATAAAAAAGATGGGGATGGTATTACCAACTCTGGACCAAATCTACCCCGTTTACATTCCTAATTATCAAACGTACTAAACATAGCAATATTTAATGCTTGGTCTTTTTTGTTTTTGACCTTCTATAAAGCAACTAAATATATGAAAATTAAACTTATCAAAGAACCCAAGTACAAATTTTTTTTTTTTCCTTCTAACATTATTACATCAAACTTGTACAGAAGTATTTAGCAACAAGGGTGCAAACTGCAACAAAGGTTGCAAAGTGTTTGGCAGAAACTTCCTAGCAAAAAGAAAGCACAAAGTTGTAGTATTTCCATTATAAGTGCAGTTACTACCAAACCTTATCTGATTCAGAAACTCTTCCGAAACATCATTGCTTCCAAACCTCCCAGGATGTGGACCGCTTTTGGACCAATCAACCCAAGTAATAGTCCTATTGGAGTTCTCTTTTGGGCAAATAATGTTTATCAAAGTCGGGATATAATGTTCATCCATATAACAAGGAGGGCGACAATGTTCCAAGAATATGGGATAGTATTTGGTGTCTGATATAATCTCTAGGGCAATCTTCCGGCTGACCTCAAACCATTGTGAGCCCTTTCGCCATTCCGATATCGAAATTGTCGGAGACATTTCGGGATTGTATCGGCCACGACCGGACTTTCTCGGGTCGTCGTGGGAAGCTGTGAAGCTTTCGTGGGCGTTTGTGAGGTAACTGTATGTTGTTGTCAAGTTGAGCAAAGGGATGCATGTTTCGGAGAGTAATACGAATCGCTCGTTGGAGGAATCATCGAGGAGGGCGTTTGCTAAGAGCCGTCTTTCTGCGTCGACCATCGTCGACGTTCCCCATTCCACTGGCTGCATTGAAATAGGATGAAGAACATGTATCATTTTTTGTGCTACTCTTGTAGGTTTTTTGGTGAAACTATATCGTCTAATTTGTTAGATCCTTCTAAAGTACTAGAAGTTCTAATCTTCTTGTGAGATGACAAGTCCAGAATTAGCACCATAGTGTCCCATATTATAGAGTATATAAATGACAAAAAATTATATGCGCTAGTACTTGAAGTGTACCACAGTTCCATACTTCATGTAGTACATGACATTTAATTATAAATTTTCTCATGGGAAAACTGGAGGAGTCCGTTCTTTGGTTTAAAAAAGAAAATTTCATTTTGATACCCTATGTTATATTAAAATATATGTTTATATCAAAATATATGTTTGGTACTCTATATTTTTTATAATTTCATGCAAACTTTGGAGATGTGAAGATACCTGCATGTAATTATCAAAAACACAAGATCCTAAACGCATATTTTGTTATAACACAAGGTACCAAAATTAAATTTTTTTCAAAAATAGATGAGATTTTAGTTGTGCTATATATATATATATATATATATATATATATATATATATATATATACACACATACATATATATGGAAAAAA